TGTGTATAAGTCACAAATTTGATAACGCAAATTTATTGCAATAATTACAGTGTGGCTTATACACCCGACATTAAATTTTTAGCACTAAAAATTCTTTGAGGAAAGCTATTTAAAACGCTCCTTTATCACTGGAAAAAATGACACGCATAAAACATTGATACTGTATTTGATTTTATTTACATTATAATGCTGTCTAAAAACACTTTGCTGTCTCACTTATTTAAAAGCATTACTTTGACTAAAATGTGTATGACAAATTTTTGCCACGAGAAAACCGCTCTTCTTAAATTATTGAGAGCAGCTTGATTTTTTTAAATGAAGGTCTGATTATTGCTTCAGCTTGTACAAACAACGTACAAAATTATATCAATTTGCTATCGAGAATTACCCCTGCAGCTTCTGCACCCGTGCGGCTTATACACCAGTATATACCGTAGAATGTCTGCTTTTTCTGATCTTTGTTACCCACTGTTAAATTTTTGTAGGATTGCAAAGACACATACAGTACAGTCCTGTGTACATACCGACCCTTAACACATACTTGATGTCATCAACATTATTAAATAAAATTGTTATTGCACGCCTGGCGTATTTTGAGAAGATAGAGGGCGTTAGCCCAATAGCTTTTGACCGCATACGGACATGTTTTGGAGTTTGACAACAAAATATGTATAAAAGTTGTTGAAATACTGTTTTAACTCGAAGATAAAGTTGGTTTTACATTTAACAAAGTTTTGAAGTTTACTGTGTCGTGTGTGAGTTCATTGTATAGCCTAACCATTGCTATTGTTGTGAATTTCGAGCAACACACTTCATTTGTGCCACTTAGAAATATTTCCTTGCTTTATTTTAGTCATTATAAGTCATCCAAAAATTACTTACATTAATAATTTTTTATGAGTTCATGATTCGGCTGTTAAATGAATCAGAAAAAAAATATGGAAAGAGTATGAATACAATCAATATTTAGTATGTATATAACGAGATGTAAATCTTTGCTGTATATTTGATGATTTACTAATATCTAACATATATCATTTTAATACACATTTAAAATCATTTTTCATTGAACTAGTCTATGTATTTTAATTTTGTGACATTTGTTTAATGTAATTTTTTTTTCCAGAAAATTGAAATGAAAACAAAATATCCAAACATTACAGTACCACAGTACTGTAAAAAAAATGATGGAAGAAGAATGTACAATAGGAAAAATGTTTGCTATTTTTGCGAAACAGTACTGCATGGGAAAATGCCACGTCACTACAAAAAGCAACATCCAAATGAACCATTAGTGGCAAGGATTCTGGCCTATACTAATAAAGAGCAACAAAGATTAGCTTTTGAAAAACTACGGTATATGGGAGATTTTAACTATAATATGACGATTTTTGAAAAGGGTAAGGGAGAATTAATTGTGGCAAGAAGACCTTTAAAGCCAAAACCCTGTGAAAATTACCTTCCGTGTACATTCTGTTATGGTTTTATAGAGATTTCAGAAATTTGGGCACATGCAAAACGATGTAAGCATAGTAAGAAGAAGGAAGATGAAAATGAAGATTTTAAGGAAATAAAGTCTTACATTTCGCAGTGCAGAATGTTGCTCCATGGTGGTAATATTTATGGAGCAAAAGACACGTTGAGTCATAAAAGAGTTTTGAAAGTAATCGTAAGCACCATGAGGGAAAGAGAAAACGAGAATATTAAAAAGACAGTGGCGAATGATGACCTTATACTTCATTTTGGAGGAGTATTGTTGGAAAGGAAAGGTGAAAAGAAGAAGAACGAAATTTCGGCTAAAATGAGGCAACTTGGTCGATTAGTTTTAACAATTCGACAGATACTTGGCAAGGATGTTGGATTGGAAAAGTGTATACAGGGAAAGCATTTTGACACAGTAGTCAGTGCAACCCAGCAGCTCTGTGTTCCCCAGAAGGCCAAGACCATGCATGGTGTACAAACAACCAAATCACCATCTCTGGGCTTGCATTTAGGGCACAGTTTGATAAAGTGTTGCCACATCAAACATGGAAAGGCAATACGCATGGGAGATTTAACTATGCAAAAAGATGCCGAAAATTTCAGAGACTTGTTTCGGCAAGAATGGACAGATACCATCTCAAGTCCAGCTCTACAAGTTCTGAAAGAAAGAGAATACACAAAAAAAGAAAGTCTTCCAACAGCAGAAGACCTTAAGAAATTGCATGAGTATACAAACTCATGTCTAGATGTAGAATGCAAACAATTAAAATCTGATCCTTGTGAAGCAAATTGGAGAGCACTTACGAAGACCATTTTCGTACTAGTGACAGTCTTCAACAAACGTAGAGGTGGGGAAGTGAGTAGAATAAGAGTTTCTTGCTTCACAGATAGGCAAAAGAGTAATGAAGGTGTGCATAAGGATCTAATGGAGAGTTTAAGCTCCATGGAGCAGCAACTGGCAAAAAGGTAACAACTAATTTATATTATTTATTCTGCAGATTCTATTTTTTTTTCTAGTACTGCACCTTAAAAATGGAAATTGGCAATGTTATTAGCAGCATATTGTTATAAGGTTTTTTTTGTATTTTTATTCTTTATTTTAGATTTGATTGTATGAAACTTCCTGGGAAGAGAAACAGGAAAGTGCCAATGCTAATAAAAAGAGAATGGGTTCAGCCCATGGAACTGCTGGTGGAAACAAGGGAGGCCTGCAATGTTTTACCAGAAAATGATTATTTTTTTGCAGTTCCCAAAGCACTGACGTATATTAATGCTTGGCAGGTGTGTACATATTGTTTTTTTAATGACCACATCTGTTTTAAAATATATTTCTTTGATTGCAAAACATTTATGACAAAATATTAAAACCATCAGTATTTTCAACATCAAATCTAATCTCAAAGTATTGCAAGAAAAAACAATTTATTTAAATGAGTTAAAAAATGATGGTCTTCATCTGCAAGTGAGAAATAACTATGCATAAATATGTTCACTTTGATTGTGTGAATGTGAATATTAAGATTTGAACAATAAGTAAAGTTTAGTATCTGAGATTTTGGGTTTAATTTTATTTTCTACTGGTAAAGAAATTGCTTGGATACATTAACATGCGTAAATTTATTTTCTTTACAATTAGACACTAAACAATTATGTGAGTAATGCTGGTTGTGAGAGTGCAGTCGATATTTCAACCACAAGATTACGGAAATATACAGCTACAATGCTACAGGTAGTAAATAAAAAAATTGATATTTTTCATAATGATATGGTACATATATATTATCTACCACAAATATTAAATAAAATTTCGCCTTTAATTTTAATGGAACAACTGTAAATTATACTAAACCAATAATTAACATTGTTGAACAAAAATAACAAACAAATTATTAATTAATTATTTCTACCCAATATTGTCTAGTCAATGTTTCTGGAAAAATTTAATAAGAAATTAATTACATGGTAATGAACCAACACTATTAGAAGTAGCAGAAATTAATTTAAATATTCATGAAGCTTGTGTTAAGGCATTGTATACAGTAGTCACTTGGTTTTTTTTTACCTAGTGTTTTTTCAAAAGGTATTTTCTAATTAGTATTGCTTTGTAAATGTCAGGTTTTTTAAGAATAAAAAAGCTCAAGTATCAGAAAAGTACTCTAACTAAGCCTGTACACCGGCCCCACCCCCTTTGTGATTAGAAGTGTTGTTTCTTTAATATAGATTCTTTATTTAAACTGAATTTTGAGAGTAATGTTCAATTGCTATTTTTTTTTTTTTTAATGGAATCAAATTAAATGTCAAATTTAATTTGTACATATGCTAGGTTCTTGCTTTAACAAAAGGAGAGTTGCAGTGGCTGTCCAA